CTGTTGCCATTTATTGCAGCTTCTAATTTGCTATTCCTTGAATAGGAGCTCAAATGGCACTGCCGCTTGCAAATGATTTGCAACATTCGAAGCACTAATGCTCACTTAGGGCTAGGGGCTTGGGCTATTGTTGAGACGACGTTGCCGCAACAACAACAACAATATGAGATTGGCACTGCAGCTTGGTTGTTGCTCATGATGGTTGCCCTTCCAATATTGATATTGGTTGAGAATGATGGAGGTGGTGCCCTATACATGATGGGGTTATTACTAATATTTACATAATGGGTTTGTGAGGAGAAAGTTGTAGGGCTTGCAATATTATTTAGGGGGAAATGAAGTGCATGTGCAACTGCAGGAGGTTGAAATCTATTAAGATTGAGATTAAGGGTGCTGTTTGGAAATGTTGGACGGGTTTGGGTTGGTTGAACTTCCATGATCATCCCGTGTTGGTTGATCATGGCAATGTCATGTCCCCCTCGTGGACGTGGTTGATATGGTCTCATCACAGGAATGACAGGTGTATTTGGGAAGACTGGTATGCCCCGATATGCGTCGGATGATGAGGCATGAATCAGATGCAAGTTTTGGTGGCCTGATCTCACTGCAGGTAAGCCATTCAAATCATAAGTAGTGCTAATAGCAGTGTGAGTCGGGCTATGGGATGAGTTCAACACCCTTTGTGTATGTATGATATGGCTATCATGATGAGATATATTGGGAATGGGCAAATGGATGTTGGTGGTTGAATATATGTGAGGGTGAGGGATTTGGTTGTACATGTCCTTTGGGAAATCCATGGCTACTAATTAAGAGTTTATGTAAAGGAGAGGACAGTGAGAGAGAGAGAGAGAACTAAAACAATCGGGGTTTCGAGAGTGTTGTGCTAAGTAAGTGACTATTGTGCCCAATTGACTTGTACTATGTATTGTTATATAGACTTTTTCATGGGCCCGAGAGCTCACATAGAAATGGGCATGAAAGCAAACTCGGTTAGTTTCTTTATGACTTGGGGTAACTCTTTTTGGTCCAAATGACTTAGGATAACTTTGGCAAAGGGTTTGTTGGCACACCTCAAATGCATGCATATGGGAAATTCATTTTCTTACCATTTGTAAAATCTAGGAAATCCTATATAGTGATTTTATATATGGAAAACCCAAAAAAAAATTGATGAGTTTTTGCACCTCTCTAAGGCTATGAGCTTTCACGGGCCAGGTATGGAATACCATCCCCATCCCCACTTCCCATATCCGCCCTGTCTTATCGCCACCATTCCCGCTAAGAATTATCGGGGAATCCTCATCCCCTTCCCAAACCCGCCTAGAATTCTAGAATTCTTTTATATAAAAAGAATCCTATATTATAACACTTATCTTTCACCTTAAACTATCATTTTATTATTGGATGGCCGCGGACTTGAAATTAACTTCATTCTTAAGTAAATTATCATTCGACAAAATGGTAATGTTGTTTCTTTTTCCTTGACAACGCACATTCTCACCAACCATATAGTAATAGTACATTCAATTTGAGGTCAAATATGAAAATTATTGCAACATCCATAAGATTATCTGTTTTCTAGGCACATATATATGTAACCCTATATTATATATACCTGAAGACTTCTGGCTCCCACTTAAACAAAGATGAAACTCATTAATTTCTTCATTTTGTGTATTAATTAAGTTCATAATAAGAACAACAACATTCTATATCTAGTGGGCTCCATTGGGCTCAATAACAAAATGGGCTGGGCTCCATTGGGCCTACCCTCAATTTATGAAAATGGCACAAATTAACCTCTCTCCACGTAGCTAATACAAAGTGAGTTGGCAATTTGGCACAAAATTAACCCTAGGTTATGGAAATGGTACAAATATTTCATGCTTTCTATTGAAGGAAGGAGTAGCCAAGAATGTACATACATTGCATCTGCGGTCGTTTCTTTTCAGAAATGCGTTTAATTTTTGCACCTCTCTAAGACTATGAGCTTTCATATGCCATGCAACCAAACTGCATTAAGTAAGTAGCCGGTTTTCAGTTTTTTTACATTTACTCCTCTTCCTAATAAACCCAAAGTGGACAGATTCCTTCTTATCACGAAAAAAATGACCTCGGTCACATCTGGCTTGGCCACTCGTGGCAAAAACACATTAAAAATTTTAACCCAAAAAAAAAAATGTTACGGGCACCAACTTTTTCATTCCTGGCTCTATATATAACCCAATTCATTTACCTTATTTGCCTCACAACCCCTCTCATCATATATTGAACTCATTTGTCTTTCAATACACCCAAGAAAATTTCATAACCTCTCTCTCTCTCTCTCTCTCAGCAGCCTTTCCCAAATTTGTTCAATCAATCAACCCAATGGCTTCCTCATTGTTTCGTTTTGGCCTTCACGATGAGACCATAGAAGCTACTCGACTTCGTTTGAGAAGTCACCCCAATTATTCTGCTTTGAACAACTGTTTGAGTGAGAGCTGTGGTTTGATGAGGTCTTTTTGCCCTCATTCTCACCCATCTCATCCTCATCCTCATCGTCAGCCCCAGCCTCAGCTCCTGGGTAACAACATTGTTAACCCTAACATGAGGCTTATTTCTTATCAAAACCAACAACCTCTCATTTCCCACAATATGCCTAGAAGTAGGGTTCACATACACACATTCATAGATATTAACGAACCAGCAGCAGCTCAAGGCCTAGGCGGCAGCCCTCATTTTCTTCTTGCTCAGCTGAGCAGCAGCAGCCCTCTGAGAGCCCATGAGGAGGTTCTAAGAAGTCAGCTTCTCAGTGCAACCTCAAACGCTGAGCGCTTTCTTGGTCAGTCCATTTTCCCCAACCCTACTTCTTCTTCTTCTTCAGTCCTCCTAAACACCAACCCAGTGAACCGTCACCATCCAATTCATTTCGGTACTAATAACACTGCTGGTTCTACTAGTAGAGTTAACAAGAGAGCCGAAGCCTCAAGCAGCCATGCCCCTTTTAATTTTCAAAGACCAAAATATTTTAACAACTATGGTCATATATTTCCTTATCGTTCTCAAAACTCCCAGCCGCCAACAGTAATTTCTATTGAGAGTGATGATGATGTTTCTTCTTCTGATGATGAACCTATTGTGGCTGAGCCAATCAGTGTTTATATCCCAACACCTCAACCCAAACCAAGTGAGTATCAAAGCAAAGAGCCAACACCTGAAGTGCCAACAAACTTTCAAAATCTTAACTCTCCAAATTATGATGATGCTCATCGAGATCAGTCCAATGGCGAGAGAGAGCTGCCACCATCCGGTGGCGATGGTGACGTTGGTGATCTATTAGCTGTTCCGGATGAGCATGTTGATCAGGTTGCTGTTTGTGATCTGGGAGACGGGAAAACACGCAGCCTAAAACACGACAAGAACGGGCCGTACACGTGCTCCAAATGCAGGCGGGTCTTCGAGACGTCGCAGTTCTTTGCCTCTCACTCAAGGTCCGTTCACCCCAGGAGCCCTGAAGAGATAGCAAGAGGAGAAGCACTGAAAGCGGACAGAAAAAGCAAGAAGAGGGTTCCCAGGAAAGAGAAAAAGCAAGAACCAAAGAGGAAGAAAGTGAATAAGAAGAGTGCTTCCATGAAAGAGAAAGATCCAGAACCAAAGCAGAAGAGATCTAGAGTGAGTAAGAAGAGTGTGACCATGAAAGAGAAAGATCAAGAGGAGGTTGTTGCAGCTTCTGGATTTGCAGGATATGGATCTGGTGGAGCAGACAGTACAGTCACTATCGTGTTGCCCCATGGTGAGAGCTATTCCCATGAAACAATAAGAGCAAAGAAGAGGAAAGCCCGTAGTATGAATGTTCCTACTGCAGTTGCACCAGACTCTGGAGGAGCAGGTGATGGTCAGGTGGGTGTCAAGATTGGAAAGAAGAAGGATAGTGAGAAGGCTGGACCTTCTGGATATGGTGGAATGAACTTTGAGGGCCTATTTGAGGTAGAGGTGCAGATGGAACAGAAATAAAGAGCTCAAGTGCTCAACAATTGAAAGTGGTTTTAGTCTATCTATGTTTGAATATGAATTGGATCTATTATAATTAGTTTGTGTTGGGAGTTTAATAGGACAATCTGGTTTTTAATTGAGAATCTGTGTTTGGGTCTATGAATGTTCTTGGGTGTTTCCTATATGTGTTTGGGTTTAGTAGAACAATGATGTTTTTAGTTTATAATATGTGTTTTTTGTCTATGTATGCTCTTGGGGGTGCTTGCTATAATATGTTTTAAAATTTAGTTATATTTTAAATTAGCGCGCTTTATTGACCGTTATATTGAAATTGGCTGCAACGCTGAACGTTATGTTACGTAGAAACTTGTTATAATAAAATTGGCGGCAACACGGGCCGTTATATAAAAGTTATTTAAAATTACAACTTAGTTGTAATTACTTTGGCGGCAACACAGGCCGTTATATAAAAGTTAGTTAAAATTACAACTTAGTTGTAATTACTTTAGCGGCAACGCGGACCGTTACATACAAATTTAGTTAAAATTACATTTTCGCCAGCTCAAGCCGGTATTAACCATCCAACGTACCATTATTAATTATCAAACTACTATTAACAATTGTGTATCTTTTTTTGTAATGACCAAATCCTATATATATCATTAAAATCAAACCAAGCTAGAAAGTTCTAGCACATCATCCAAAACCAATAAAAACATCCACACAACTAGACCATCCTCAATCCAAAGAGTTGCAAGGGTGAGACCATTGCTTAGTATAGGGTAGGCTCTAGTACAAGTTTTTGGGAAAAATAGAAATTTGGTGCTAATGTTATAAAAGTCAACCCAACTTGGTGGTAAAAATGTTCACTCCTTTCCTTTCCCACAAATTTGAAGACAAATCCACTCAGCCACCTAAGCATAATAGACGGATGGAAAAATTTCAACCTACCATTGTAAAAAATTTATAGTTCCGTCCGTCTTTGCGTGAAATTGTAAGATAAAGCATGTGTCACAAAATTATAGGAAAAAGATCAAAAAAGTTATATACAAATATTTTTGCTACAAGCAATACATAGCTCACTGTAATTCACTTTAGTACTCTTGAAATTCCTGACTAAATAAGACTTAGGAAAGCAGCAGAAATGCTCTAAGGTTTTCTTGCTTATTCATTCTTCTATATATACTGAAAACCCTTTTTTTTTTTTTGAAGCTGTAATATATTACGCCCATCTTTGCCTAAAAAAATGTAAAACGCCTGCAAAATTGTAATTATTACAGAGGAACAATCCTAGCATGTCTTTCATACTAGATTAAAGGTTTTCTCCAGAAATAATGGCATGTAGCAGTTTTGCACTCCATGTTACTTCAGCAAGGTTTTCTAGAGGAACTGCAATATCTTCTGTGCTTTCCCTTAAAAGCACCCTGCATTCTGGAATCCATGCACTAATTAAACCACAGAATCATCAATAGTCAATCGTCTCCATCGAGTGATGCATCGACAGATTATTCTAATCTTCAAAACTCAGAGACAAGAAATAAAGACACATGTATATATATATACACACCAGTGACACCACAGTGTTTGTTGTTGATTTTTATGTAAAATTTGTGGAAAATAAGTTTATGTAGAAGTGACTAACCAGATATTTTGCTGAAGTTGAGCATAGACACTGAAGCAAGGATCTTCTGCTCAACCTGCTCACCATTCTTCAGCCTCTCTTTTAGTGGAAAAATGAGAGATGAGAAGGCTGTGAGCTGAAACTCAGAACCAGATAGTGAAGAAAGTGCACGGCTCAACCATTCCGCCGTGATTAGGCACACCCTCATCAAATCCAAGTTTTCAGATCCTAAACACTTTGAAAGGGTTTCTAAAAAAGACTTTTTCCCATTACCAAGCAGTGTAACTGTCAAGTTCCTCAACCAATCTTCAATGGAATTGTCTTCGTCATCCTATAATTTGATGAATTAAAACATCAGATAATTATCTTTAAACATATCACTAAAGTGATTGATGTAGAATTTTGAGTTTCTTTCACTTAAGAAAGCGGGAAAACAGAACATGGTATTGAAAATCTGGAGAAGCTATATCTAGTGACCATGGTATGAAATTATGAATATAGATAAGAAATTCTCTGGACAAAGAATATGGGGATCGAATGTATGTACCGATGGAGATGCGCCATGAGCCAGTGAACCATCTTCGTTGTCAAGTGAATTCACTTCACAACTGCCACCAAAATCTGTTGGCTTTAAGATCCAACTTCGCGACAACAATTTCCCTGAGAAAGAGAAGTACCTTCTCAAGATAAGAAGTGCTTTGCAACAATTCTCTCGGACATTCGCATCAGTTAAGCTGCAATCAAGAGCCTCTGTAATTGCATCAACAGCTTCCTCTCTATGCATACCATACTTCTGAGGTTCTACTTCTACCTGTAACAGATGGTTGTCTTAGTTAACAACATTTGATCATGCAGAATAGGGATAGAGACAATAGTTTCTAATAAACAGAAAAGGGAGTTCCAAGAAGAGATATTTAGTCATATACCCATTCTTAGCACTAATAATATAGATAAACCCTACATCATTTAATTTCTATAAACAAATCCAAAAAATGACAGCTAGCCTTATTGAATTTAATTTTATTATTAAATTACTTTAATGCCCTATTGAGTGTTTTGGGTAGTTTTATGAGGTTTTGGGGTTGGGCTTGTTTTAAGAAATTGATGGCAGTTTTGTAATTTATAAGAAGTTGAAAGCCTCTTTGTTATGTTATAAATGGGCTTTGGTTGTGTTTCTAAAGTTAATTTCATATAGGGTTTTTTTATAATTTGGGCCCCTATATTGGGTATAATAGTGAATCTCCCTTCAAAGTATCACTAGATCATCAAATGTTGAAAATAACCATCAAACATAGGGCAACCTCTGCGGTCTGTTTGCCTTCTTTCTATGAGCACCCACAGAGGATTAGCCTGTTTTATGATCCCTATGCTATGGCTACTTCTTCATAACAAGATACTTATATACCTATAATCATATCAGTAGCTTAGTATTTAAGTCACTTTTCTTTCATACCACCAGCAACCTAAACAGTTCAGATAAATGAAACTTTTCATCTCTCAACCAAGCAGCCATCAATTCCCTTCAAGTCTGAGCTCGTAAGATACAGGAAGACAGAGATATTACATGGCATTTATATGAGCGGCAATAGCTAAATTCCTATAATTACTGCAGGTTTATGCACCATTAAGCATGTAGGGAAATTATTCCTGCAAATCAGAAATTATAGCTCACATTGTCGAAAAAAAATTTGATTGTCATATATTTTATTTTCACACAACATAATGCCTTCCACAGTGACTACTTCAGAGTTTAAGGGGGCACCACTAATGCAAGAAGGGGTCAAGCAAAGTGGCATGGCATCAAGAATAAATGAAGACAATTAGGATGGAACTTTTAGAAAATTCCTGTGAACTACTTAAGGAGTGTACCAGAAGATCTACGTGTAACAAAAGTACTGCAACCAAGGGTCTGTGATTGGCTGGAGAACTCTGGAGACACACAAGCAAAACGTCCATTGTATTCACAATCCCTTCATTCTGCAAGCCACTGAGAAATGTTGTGACATCATTCTTCCTGCAATGGCAAAGAAAAGAAAAATCAATGATGAAAGGTACTAGCAGACACCATATAACCACAAACAATTACAGTTATGCAATCCCTTATCTTTCAATAGGCATTTATTAGTTGTTTCAAGCCTTCAACAACCAATCCAAGTTCATCGGAAATTTCCATATAAAATTTCTTTTATATTTTGTTTCCACATCACCATTATACAGTCTGTTTATGCACATATCCAAAACTAAAAGATGGCAAGGTTCTCATATATTGGATTCTGAATTGCTCACACACATGCACAATGAAGATAAAAAGAATATATGAAGGGGATTGCTGACAGACTCATTTTGTCAATTTTAATGTGCTAACTTCAAAAAAATATCTATATATTGAGAAGCAACCAGAGCAGCTCATTTGACATGTATTACCAGCAAGCCAATGTTACTCACCTCTTCAGGCAAATCAGTTCTGTCAACAACAACACTGCATTTGTTCTTATCTTAATCTGCTTGCTCTGAAGTAGTTCCATAACATACTGTTTGTTAATGTCTCTTGCTATTATATTCCTACAATCTGCATCTGCTTCTATACAACAGGACAACAGCACTGCAGCACGAGATTTCTCTTCCACCTTTCCTAATTCAAACCATTGAAGAAGAAACTGCAAGCCTCCAAGAGACGTAAGGTGCTTGGCATTTTCTGTCCTTTCCTCTTTGCTGAAACAAGTGAGAAGCTGCTCTAGCACGAAGATAGCTATCTCATCATAGTGTTTGGATCCATCTCTCCCTGAGGTCCCCACTACTTGAGAGGCAAAAGCCAAGAGTTTCCTACAATGTTCAGATTTCCAACTATGAATCACACGCTTTAAGATGAAGTTGTGAAGAGGCACTGCTAGATATTCCAATGATTTTCCTGTCACAGGACATGTTCTGTTTCCTTTATCAAACCATGCCTTGATGGCTAACCGCTCAAAGGTTTGACCAGTCTCTAGAGTCACTGGATCTTCAAACAACCTTCCAGTTAGAGGGCAAATGAAGTCCTGGGGAATGCACCAGAAAATGATTCCTTCGTCAAAGTAATTTCCATGTAACTCTGTGTCAAGGGAATGTAAACATGAGAAACAAATCGAGATGTGCACTAAAGGGTATAATATCTTAGATGTTCCTTTTGACTCACCTTCAAAAGAAGACCTTTCTTTGATTGGCTGCACTTAAAGAGAAAAAGTATAAATACCATAAACTAGAAAATGACATTGTACATAGTTAAAGATTTTAGAAAGAATTCAGTACATTTACAATAGAGCTGGTAATTGATGCTTCACTGCAATTTGAAACAGTAGAACCCTCCGCGCGTTGCTGTTCATAAACGGATTTTTCACGGGTTTTGAGGGTAAGCTTATTCTCTTTTGCACATGCTGATGCATGCAGCATCTGGGTGCTTTCTGTATTTTCTCCACATATGTTATCAAAGTGATGATTTAGGTCACTTTCTGGTAGATCACTCACTCCAAGATAACCCCACTTTTGCTCTTCTGTCATTAAGAGTCCATTTTCCTACAGAAATGTTTTAGAGCATGAAATTGGATTTAGTAAAATATTTCAGATTTTTTTAACACTCTTCCCGGTGTGATGTAGTTTTTATTTAGAATCAATTCCAAATAAACATTAATTGGATAAAGCTTCTTATGTTCAAGAGAAAATGAAAGGCAACACTGCTGCTAATTACTATAGAAGTTATTCATAAGACAATCCCAGCATAGAATGGGTAAACATATATAAACCCTAGAAATTTTTAGATGTGCTTGGATAAAGAATTAATTCACACACAAAAAAAGGTTACTTACAGAAAGAAATCCATCTTCTGGTGCACTCTTAGTGGATTCTTCTTCAACATCTTGGTACCTATATTGAACTGTTTCAGAAGAGTGCTGACTTGTTTGTTTAGCATCAGCTGAACCATCAGAACTTCTCATACAACTATCAAAGTTTTCTATATCTCCATCATCTTCAGCCTCATCAGATTCAGGTTTACTTGAACGACCAAACACAGAATCGTACAGTCTTTTGCTGACCATTGACTGGGGACCACCTGGACTAGGGGCCTCTGAAGAATGACTATGAGAACCTCCCTGCTGGACTTCCTGAAGAGATACAGATGGGATAGGAATGGAAGGGATGGAAGGAGATTCAGCTCCTTCTGTAAGCCAGTCCTTGTAGTAAACTGCAAATTGGTAAGTACCAGAATCTAAAATTTCATTGTACGCCTTTCCTAAAAGCTTCAGTTTCCTTGGCTTGTTTTGTCTATCTGCTAGAGAATCAGCTTCTTGATCATACCAAACCTTTAAATGTGAAAGATGCGGAAGAAACAGGTGGTCCCATAATTCAGGCAACAATGTCGTTCTTGCGTGAAAGGGCGTATCACAAAACACTTGCAAAAGATGCTTAGCTGATACCCTGTCTTTCTTCTTTAGCTTATACACCACACTGAGGTAGAGATGAGCACAAGCTGACAATTTATAGTTAGGAACCCCAGATGTAAATCCATCCTTCAAATCAGCTGAGTTCAAACCTGTAATAACACTAAGCTGCAAAGAAGCTCTTTTTAAATCCTTTTCACTTGCAGATTCCTCTGCAGCCTTTTCCACTGTTTCAATTGCCTGCTCAAGGCTGGCTATGATTCTGCTCTCAGAATGCCCTTCTTCCTGATGAATAAAGTTTAGGGAGGAGATACAGTTGTCTCTTAGTGCACTCCGGAAGTTGTCATCTTTGAGAAAACGTTTAATATATCCACTTAGGATGGAGACCATGGCTTGGATAGCAATTTCATCGAGAGCAGGTTCAGAAACTGCCCGTAAGACTTTGTCATGCTTTTTACCACGAGCATCTTCAGAATTTTTGCTATATGATGAATCTCTCCTTGATCTGTCATGAGAGGTCTCAGGCTGTTTCCTGCTTTGCCTATTATTCTCACTAAAACTTGTACGTCCAGCCACATGTTTGTTTGAACTTGAACTGTGGCTATGTTTCCTGTCCACCTCTGTCTCCTTCTTTGACCTCTCTTCAAATACTTCGTTTTCCGTACTTCCATTAGAATACTTATCCTTCCTTCTTTCCGAGCTATACAGTTCATTTGAATATATGTCCTTGTATCTCTCAAAGTCTTCATCATCAACCTCAACTATCTCATTTGCTGCCTGATTCTGGGGAAAAATGCTATTTAAACTTCTAGCTTCCCACACACCGTGGCTGGTAGGACCTTTTCCTCCAAGTCCATCCCTAATTTCTTTCTTTGATCCTCCTTCTATTTTGTCTCTTACAAGAAGATCTTCTCTTGGTCTCCTTCCTCTAATATCATTACCTGTTGGCAGATTATTTCTCACACCGTACCGAGACACATCAGACCTTGTTTTCTCTGGCCTTATTCTATCTCCTGACATGGAACGTTTCCTGTGTTCTTCTGAATTTGGAAAATGACGTATAGTTGAACCAGAATGGTAGGAAGTCCTCGACCTGGTCAATGATTTTCTTCCTTTAAACCCATCTTCTGCTAGAAGATCCTCCAAAGACGATGCCATTTGTGCTGCTGATACTAAAACCTTTCTTCACACTGAATCTTATGCCAAAGAAGAAAAAAAACCAAGTTTAATAGCTGAAACTAAATCTTCATCTGTTTCATACAAAACCATGCAATGAAATCCAAGAAAATCAAAAGCACTGTAAATTATGCTAAGAAGAAACCACTAGAGCAGAATATCCTCTGGATGTTACCAGTAAATTGGATGTAAGATTTGATCAATTTATCCCTATAAATACTTCAAAGCACATGTCTGCCAACTAAAAATTTTATGTTTCTTAGTATCCTGGAATCATAAGTTGAAAACTTTTTTCCTCAATGAATGGTGAACAATGACCAGTAATAAGAGGCTACTCATCCAGTGTGATCAAAATTCATTTAGAAACAGAAACAGAACCAAAGAGACGATAAAAAATTGGAAAAAGAAATAACCACAGAGATATTTGACAAATGCAAGCATTACCTTGAACCTATAATCTACTTCATAAACACCAAATTTTCCTACCCTCTTGAACCAAAATAAAATATTTTGAATCATAAACTCATTTACTCCTTTGACTAATGATCTAAACTTACTTTGAGTCTAAAAACCCAGAGAGCATCATATAGTATATATTATATATATTCTGTAAAGACGTCATTTTTCTCACCTTCAAGCTCTCCTCAGCGAAATTCAAAGCACTTGAGGAAACTTCAGACAAAACCCAGTTGCCAAGATGCCAAAGGCATATTAGTAGTTGAATGCCTGCAACTCAAACTACTGGCTCCGCAGTTGGCAGTTGGCACAGCAACAATCCAAGAAGAAGAAAAGATTTGGTTTTGATCTTCAAGGAAGAATGTGGTGGAGGGAATCTTAGCAAGGAACAAGTAGGCAATGAAAGAGATGCTGGTTAAAGGAAAAACATGAGCTGGGTTTGTTTATAAATTAAGGACTGCAAGCCATAAGATAAAACAAAAACAAATGAGAAATTGATGGAGAATTGTAACAATAGGCAACGAGGCAATCACTGAGAGAGAAGGTGACAAATGAAAGCTGACAAATGAGAGTGAGAGAGAGACAGAGAGGGAGGTTTTGAAAGACAATAAATAAATAAATGGAGTATTTGATTGTGTATGAGTTGTGTCATCTGTGACTCTTTCAACTCAACTATGCGTCTCTCTGTATTTGCAGGCTTGCTTGCTGCTGTTTTCAAACTCTTTCAACTGCCGCCCCTTTTAATTAGTCAGTTTGCCATTGGCCACTTTTTTTCAGTGTTTAAAAAAAAAAAAATATAACCCGTGCTAGTTGCCATGCAAGCAATCCAGAAAAATTCAGTGCTAGTTATTGATTGAAAAATATATTTTTTTAATTTTTTAAGGAAGGAAACAAATTGGCTTCTTACAGACAAATCGCTCGCAGTGTAACATGTAAAGAGTCGAGCATTAAAAAAAATAAATATAACCCGTGCTAGTTGCCATGCAAGCAATCCAGAAAAATTCAGTGCTAGTTATTGATTGAAAAATATATTTTTTTAATTTTTTAAGGAAACAAATTGGCTTCTTACAGACAAATCGCTCGCAGTGTAACATGTAAAGAGTCGAGCATCATTTCATAAGAGATTTATATGAATGAAAAAAATTAATTGTTTTTCTAATCTAATATGTTTCAACATCTCAATCCGAAAAGAATAAATGGAATAGAAAAGAAGGAATTGGAATTGATCTTGAAATGACTAACTCTAAGATAGGGTCCATATTTGCATCCAAATCTCGTATCACCACACATCTCAAATTTTAATAATGGAGTAACTAGTGCAGCATAGTTCATTTCATATAGTACGTTAGTTTGCTACATTTTCAAAAGAAGAAGAAGCCAAGTCCATACATAGTGAAGAGGGCCTTTTGTGTGTTTTACAAATATTTGCACCCATGGCTGGGACTTTTGATCATGGCAAAAACCAAATGGAAGTCAACCAAAGGGCATATGGCATGGTTTGATAATTTAGCCAGGAATTTTATCATATCTACATAGATACAAATATGCAATTTTAATAAGATCTGAAAAATTGACAGGGCTGCCGTCAGTCAAGTGGAACAAACAAAAATGCAACCCAAACACATTAATAATTACAGCATATACCGACAAACTATTGTTTAAAGAGTCTGCTGGAAGGAAGTAGCGAGGCAATCAAACAATTAACTTGAAAGCTGTTCTTGTAACTAGCATGGTTACTCCTTGTTCCGGGATGAACGATCCTTCCGTTGCCCACCAAGAATACGAGAAATCTGTAAACCTCTGCTGAATGCTTGGTTGAAGAGCATACGGGTTTGGAATTCAGAAACGAAAGGAAACCAGGCCAAGAATGCAACTGGTGTGAATAGAAGCAAACCCATAACTATCTCAAAGCCGCGAGCAAGAGTCCGAACTGATGGCCATAAACCAGCCTTGTGAACAACAGGCTTGCAAGCTTGTGCAATCTGGTAAGAGATGGGAAGACAAAATGACATTAGGAAATTCAAGGACAAAGAAATGCACACAAGTGCAAGATGCAATTACAACCTCATTGTATTGCGCAAATTTTACTTTTGGGAAATCTCATTGTAACAACTCAAACTAACAGCAGAAAGTTGGGAAATCTCCAAAACAGAGGGTATCACCATATCACCCTTATTAACAAATCCAAGTGGGTCGGATCTGAAGATGGTACCACGGCTACCCGTGTGCTAAGAAGTTTGGTTCAGGGATCTTATAGCCCAATTTTCAGTTAAGGATTAAAGAAAACACAACATTGTTGTTATATCCAGAGTGTATTTGCAACCCTGAACTAAGGTAAGGCAAGACTGGAACATTCACTCACCAGAAGAATTCCCCAACCAGTTGGCATGAAAGCAAGAATGCACACAATGATATCCTGCAGCGTCATGTGAGGCAGCACAATCAAAGTCACCAAAATAGACACAAAAGTTACGAATATTAGTCCCTTTATTAGCCGGAACACTAGTTGAAACTCTGCACTGAACTTTCGCCTCCCAACAGATACAGTCTGGAAAGAAAGAGAAACAATTAAGTACATTTGTTAAACTATATATTTCTTTTTATGAGAAAATACTGATAATATTAGTAAGTATAATCAATGTGGACCAGCAGTCCACGAAAACTCAGAAACAAGCCACCAGAAAAAAAGGAAAAAGACAAATAACAGAAGCTTGCAAATGCTGTCCACATGTCGTAAGAACATGTAGAAAAGGAATGAGATTCACAAACAAGAAAGGGAAACAAATTATGTTTAAAATCAGATCTATGCACCAAACACCCAAACAACTGAACTGCAGGAATCCGAATGGGCAAAGCAAAAGCCTAAAGTTACCTCACAACCAGATTATCACTAGGTAGCAAACACAATATTAGTTTTGCAAAGCAATTACGAAAGCTAAGCAGCCAGCCTATATTGCGGCAATTATGTATGTAAAGCACTTTTTCTATTCTATGTTGATAAATAAGCCAATATGAATACAATTTTGACTCACCTTCATAACAAACAAAATAAGGAAGATCACCAGCCAAGAAATGCCATAGACCTGTTACCAAGTGAATGCAATATAACAATAAGTTTTCAATTTTCATATCCTAAAAGAAAAGAAAATAGGATTTGGGGGGGAAGGAAGGAATGGAGGGAAAGAGATCAGGTTCATTATTTACCAGAACACTCTTGGTTTTCTTTGCAATGTTCAAGTGATAGACGAGCCCATACTGATAGATAAAGAACCGTAACGATAACAGTATCTCAGCTACAATACCACGCTTTCCAGAATGCTGGAGATGCTCTTGTTCCTCCTCCCACCATGATTCCCAGCTTTTTTCAGGGGGAACACCTATACCCCCACGGTTACTTATCCACTTATTCCAATCTGTCCAATCATCAACTATCTTTTGCCACTCAAAACCAGAAGGATTGAACAAAAAGGGAGCAAAAAGCCAGGTGCCCACCATAAACCACATAGATACTGTGATCAAAATGTACGCAACAGCACTTCTATAAGTATGGCCAAAGATCTGGTACACCAGAAGTAAAACTAAGAGTTCAATACCCTTAACAAAGTGGCTGCGGGAATAGAGCCTATAGTTATCAGCAAACTTAGCATGGAAAACCACAAACCCACGGCCTGTAGGTCTATATTTTGCACCACCATGAAGTAATGTTCGTCCGTAATAGTGGGTCTTTGTTCCGAGCGAGAATGTAAAAAATACTGGGGCCAATTGCAATTGCATCAATATGAATTCACTTAGTGCAGTTCGGAAACCCTTTTCCAAACCAATTTCCATCAACATAGGCAACGCCATCAAAAATCCTATTTGAACAAATGATTGAGAAGCAAGAGCTACTTGAAGAGGCTTATTGTCTCGAATTGCTGGTTGGGTGCTCAAACCCTCTTCAAGTCCACTAAGAACTAGGTAAAGGCGTCCATAAAGGAAGACATACACAGTAAGCACCGTAATCTGCCACAAAAACATTCTTCCATGTTCAGAACCTTTAACTAACTACATATATTATTTTTTCAAGAACTAAGTACATAACAGTTGAAACCAAAACTAAAAAGCAGCATACCAGAGTACTGTAGTAGAAACCAATTGTGGTGAAATAGCATGACAACATGCGGAAAAAGTCAAAACGGTGTCCAAGTCGGTATATATCTCGACTGAGTGTCTGCTCCCCATTTCCATTAGCGATTTTTGCTTCAAACATTGAGATCTGGTTAAGGCCCACATCTCTTCCCTTCCCAACTTGTATGTACTCGTGATGAGTTACATTGCCTTCACGGAGTGTGGAATTAAAGCCTGCATCCAAATCCATAATAAGATCATAATACCCCCATATAAATTGTGATAATGGATAATTGTTCAAATAAATGTCTTCAACTTACCAGCAAATATGTCTTCACTCAAATTGATAACCTTCGATGCCTTACTGATACCCCCCCTGGTAAGGTGAAAGAGCCTATCAAACACATCTGGATGACCATAATGGAATCGAACCCTGGATGACCAGAAACATCAAATTAGTAGAACTTTAGCACAAGTGAAATTACAAAATCAGAAATTTAGCACATTGAAAAAAAAGAAAAAGAAAAAACCAAATGCAAGTACAAACTTGTCCACATACAACTAACAGATTACACTACACTTGTCTGCAATAATTTTTAGTTTCAAGTTTTTCATTCCCCCAAAATTTCACGGGGACATTATGAGGTAAGAACTTACTTGAGAGGGTTGGCCAACAGTCTCTGACCAATAGTGACAAAACTGTTTTCCTGATTTGACATGAACCAAGCTAGAGAAGAAACACTGCATGGGGTCATGAAAGAATGTTAGTGATACCTAGCCATCGCCCGTTTTTTATACAGCCACCCTTAGTAACAACAGAAGAACACCTACCTTCCAGTAAATATATGCTCCCTCAGTCCAAGAATTGTAGGGTGCCTCACCCCATCATGCTTCTCAAGAAATTCTTGCAGCAAATTCCTCATTTTCAAGGCTTCTTCCATGTAGTTATCCTACAGGATGAGTCATATTAATTAGCAATGTCTAAGCTTGCCACCATGAAAGTAAAATCCTGAATCCACCAGCCTTCTGGTTGCAACCACCATACCTGGTTCATATCAATTGTCTGCAAGCCTTCTCCACGTGTGAAAATAATGGCATGATTTTGATTTTCAGGCTTTCCCTCACCCAAAATAGCAGGTCCTGGAAGCTTTATCCGATAAATGACCTGCATTCAGATAACAATACAATTTAGTAGAAGATATATGACCTAAAGTAAATAACATAGAATCATTTTGTGACATGGTCTGCTCAGGGATAGCAGTTCAGAAATTTAAAATGATTTATGCCCATAAAGAAGCCCAAATTGAATCCTTTTCCAACTGTGCTCCACCTCCTCACCCTTCACAAGCTACAACCTTTGTCTATATCTAAGTAATTATTTACCTTAAAATACAATGAGATATTACTCCTCCTATAAATCAAAGTTGGCTGCAAAGTTTTATGGGCTCATGGTGCATTTTTTTTTTATAAGTCATTAAC